TAAAAAGAGAGCACTTACTTATTTCCCTTACTAAAAGTAAGCGTGTCACATGGGTTTACACCTCACTATGGTTTTTATGATTGTTACTTTTTCCTAACTTTTTCATAGACTAAAGTAATTTTGCTTACCTGCAGAAAAAGTGGAAAATATTGAAAAGAACTTGTTACTGTAGTAGTACTGTCACTTAATTGGAAGCTGGTAAGGGTATTTCACAGATCTAGCTGGTGCAGTAATCAAGCAGGCCAAACGTTAGGTTCCTAATTGTTCAATCCTTGATCCTTCATTTAGCTGCTGCTTGACTCTGCAGGGAAAGACCAAGATACAGTCAGGTCCATGCTAGATGCATGTCTGAGCGTGGAATCTAGAATGTTGCTGGAGACCATTGGTTACTTGTTAAGCGCTTGAAGGACAGGAAAGTGCTACATAAGTGGATCCATTACAGGCAGCTCTAAGCTGAAAGCAAATTGGTAACATTAAGCTTAGTGTGTCTTAAGTCCTCTCCATAAATGCCTTAACTCAGAGGCTGCAGTAAGCAGCCTCATCTACTCAGCATCCTCTCCTAGCCCATCAGAGCTTGCTCTTTTAAGGACAATGCCACAAGGCAAGATGGGTTCCACTTTAACAAGTAGGATATCATATGTAAGGTTCCCACAATGGTCAGTTTTGCTCTCTGTATTAAGAAGCAAGAGAAGAGAATGTCCAGCCATGCCATAAGCAGTTCTAGATGGGCACATTCTGTCTGTCACTGCAGAAAGGTTGGGGGGCGGGGCGGAGGAGGCAAGTGCAGCCTCGTGGCTTGGATAGGTGTGCATATAATGAGAAAGAAAGAAATGCTTAGTTCTTCTGCTTGAATTGCTTAGCTATGTTATGTTAGACAGTCACTATAGTAAGCTGCAACATGGTAGGAGTTGAGAAATGACTGCTCACTCTCAAACTGACTGTAGCATCAGTTGTAAAACATCTTTATATTATGATTCTAAGGACCCAAATAATAGCTAGAAAGTACAGAATCTCTGCAAAGAGCCCGTTATGTCACAGGGCTTTTATATTCCACCATCGCCTTCTGAGGTATTCTGATTGGGTTTCTCCCAAGATTTAAAAAAAAAACCAAACCAACCAACCAACAGTTTCGCTAGGTTCCTGCAGCTGAGTCAGAGCAAGCTCTCAAAGTTATTATGCTGACTTACAAATCTAACTCATACACTAGATAGATAAGCAAGTTACACTGAGCAAAAAGAATTGGTACTGATAAACTAAAATAGGGTAACAAACAGACAAGTTCTAGCTGACAATGACCATATACCACTATTCAGTGTAAAGGTAATGTCATTCTTTGTTTTGCACCTTGAGTCATTTGCTATTTGAGAAGGGTTTGGATTTCGAAATATGGATGCCCATGTAGCTTTTACCAGGCACACAGCAGAATAATTTATATTTTGCTTTCCAAGCTGCTTAATTTTTAACTATACTTTGAGCCTGGTTTATATATTTTATATCAGTCTTCAAATCACTCACTCCCACAAAAGCAAAGGATTGATGTAGCCAACTGTCTTAAGACAGGTTCACCTACTTCCCTTTTCTTTTAATCATTGTGAAAGAGGTCTTAATCTACTGCAGGAGAAAGGGTGGAAGGTTTTTCTGGCTAGAGAAATAAGGATCTCCTTGTGAAGTTATAGTGTGTTCCTAATCACAGCTCTCTGCTTTTAAATTGCCTCTACTCTTTTCCAGAATTTCTGCTGTCTGAAGGCAAAATCAGTTGATGCCAGCTTTTTTTTTGTAAATGTCATTTAAGGTTATAGTATCTCACAAATTACCCATTCTCTGGCCTACCACTTGAACAGGACTAAGCATGTGTTACCTTTTATGTTAAGCATGGAATGGCAGATTGCTGGAATATATGAAAAATAACAAATGAAGTTTGGTGTTGTCATCACAGTGTCCATCCTTGTGTATCTTTATAGGCTTGCTCATTAGTCTGTAATAATAAAAACAATGGTTGGAAAGGTAATTATCAGTGCTGCATATTTAAGGATAGCTTTTAGCCTGGGGTGGTGAGCAAGACCCTTACTGTGTGCAGAGGAAAGGAGCGCCATCAGGGAGGACCTCACACGGCCCACAATAGCTGGCACTTGTCCCCACGTGTGCTAAGCTTCACTTTTCTCTGCTGTCCTCCTCAGGAACAGGCACATGTTTAGACCTTTGCTTGTTAGTTTATTTTTCAATACAAGCACAAATGATGTTCAGCAAGGTACAGCATCTATAGAATAGTGCCAGCAAAACATTTTTCTGTTATAGCACAGCAGTTTTTTAGCCAACATAGCAAACTAACAGGAGAGATTCAGTTTCATAAAGTAGCCAGTTATTTTGATAACCTGCTGGCTATCTAGTCGTAGTTGTCAGGGAATACTTAGTGTGTTTTTTGAGTCACTCAGTATTAATATATTTTCAGATGCTTTATGTAGAACCATCAAAGTGTCATTATGATTAAGGAGCACACAACCTATTGTATTTCAAAAGAGAAATTACACCTAAATCCTTTAGGTGGGTTTGAAAATTTTTGAATTGTCATTAATAGTATTAATATCAACACCAGATCTAAACACTTTCTGTAACAAAATATAAAATTAATCACGTTTTGCACTTAATGATAAACAACAAAATTCCCAGTATTTTCAGCCATCTGGTCCAATAATTTTTCTGTTTCACAACAGTATAAAATAGCATTAGATGCAGCTTCAGGAAGCTGCAATAGTCTGAAATCCAGCGATCTTAGACTGAGCATGCCAAAAATTAATCCCAAAACCTGTTTGTAAAATTAGCTATTTATACTAACTCCACATTTTCATTCAAAATAAAATATGCACCATCTTAAATTAGCAAGAAAGCTGATGAATAATTTTTTGCCAAACTATGACTGCTGTTGACTATGATGCTCAGCTGTATCTATCAACAGTGCATAGAATGGCTAAATGGTGAAGGATGCTGGCATAACCTGGAAATGAAATGCTTGTCTGTGATAGCATGTTCTCTCTTAGGAAGAAGCTAGGTTCTCAACTCTGTTGTTAATGGTTTTACAAACTTTGACATGAAAGATAAGTACTTAGCATCAAAAATGACTTTTTCTTTACTTTTTTGACTCATGAGACTAAACAAGGTTTCATTATTTTGTTGTAATAAAAACATTTGATTAAAATTTATAAAACATCAAATGGGGAGGGGAAAATAATCTGGTAGCATGAATTTGACCTGTAAAGACAATCAATCAGAAAGGCCATTCAAAGTAGTGAATACAGCTTCTACCAATTTATTTTTTTATTTTTTGCAAGGCAGAAGAAACAAGAAGTAGAAATTACTGGTTTGGAGGTGAGGATGACACAATTTCATTTCATTTGAAATTGTTTCAAAATTTCTGCAAAAATCCCATAGCTACTGAGGAGCATGGCAGGAAAGCACACCTGGCATACAGATCATCTTTAGAAGTTGGTCAAAATCAGACAGCATTTGCAAACTTAATTAATTTTTTGTTACGTTATCATATTCTGAGAGAAGGGGAAGAATGGTTGGAATTCTTTAAACATTCATTTGGCTAATCAGTTAGCCAAATCAGTTAATGATTCAGCTAAGGATTTCAAAGTACATTACAAAGCCTTAAATATGAAGTATGTTTGTCCTCTTTACCTGCTGCTGCTTGTCATTTAGCTTTTCTTCTACTCCTGACCAAGCTTGGATGATACTTGCAGGCGACCTACCCAGAAATTGTTGATATAGCATATTTTTGTTTCCTGCAACAGATCAAGTGTATTTCTTTCTTTTCAAGTTTATAATGGAGTGATTTTTTTACCCCAATACAGTCCAAAATATAAATAGTCTATTTTAAAAAAAAAGAAAGAAACAGAACAGCCTTAAGTCATTAAAAATACAGAGGAAATCAGAATAAACCTGCCTTGTTTCTACCCCGTACTAGGTAAATGTTAATTCACGTGATTACCAAGGCTGACTCCTCTTGCAGGTTTGTCAACCTTTCCTTTTTTGGCTGCTCTCATCTTTCTTCCCCTCTTATTATAACTCACAACCTCTTCTGCTTTTTAGGTTTCTTTGATGTACCTGGCTCTATTCCAGCTGTGATACCCCCCACCCC